CAAACTGGCGGAGTCATGTCACCCCAGTTCTCACGCGCCTGCACTGGCACCCTGTCCTGTTTAGGGTTTGGTTTAAGATTCAGCTTTTTGATTTTTTAAAGCCTTGTACCATCATACCTGGCTGACATACTAGAGCCTTACGTACCGACGTGCTCACTGAGGTCGGCTGACTGCGTGTTGCTTTGCACCCCCTCAATGAACTATAAAAAGAGGGGGGAGCGTGCTTTCGTGCATGCTGCGCCTGTTCTCTGGAATGCCTTACCTGTTACGATATGACAGTCAACATCCATTGCGGCCTTCAAGTCCTGATTAAAAACATATTTTTATGGATTGGCATTTAAATCACAAATCATGAACTTTATCAGGTTTTATTGATTGAATAACACCCATTTTGGCGGTTTTACTTGTTTTTATCTTTAGCTATGTTTCGTGATTTGAATGTTTATAGTACTTCTCCTCCTGTACTATATATGCAAGGTCCATTGTTCTTATGCTGTTTGGGAACTGCTCGATAAGTGAAGTGGTATGGTATGGTATTGCGTGATAAGACAATCACTTTATGTATTTCTAAAAAATAAAATCACACATAATTCCTGAAAGGGGAAAACTCCTAATAGCAGCTTTAAATAAAATCTACCATTACATTAAATTCACTGTCCAACTCCTATTTACTGTCTAATCCGAAGGGAACGTATAGATTTTTTAGAGTCGGCTGACTAACATCAACATGTGGCACCAAATGTGCACTCTGAAGCACTTCTCTCTCTGCTTGCCACTCCCTTGTCTTTCCACCTTTTACTTCCTCCCTCATCATCTTAATGACTAAAAGCCACTAAAGTCTCTCTGTATGTTTTGCTGTATGTGTATCATAGAGAGAAAACTAAATCACTTCTTACTATTTTGCTGCATTCAATCATCGCAGTATGCATACATTTCTCCACAGAGTTGTTTGAAAGATTGGTTACGCTGGCCGAGACGAACATGCAAGGTGGGTGATCAAATAACAGCAGAGAGCGGTTCTAAGTGTGTCTCAACAGCCGGCATAAAATGCATCTTCATAGCTTGAATAACCACTTATGTCAGATGCTTTTATGCAAATGGAAGCAGAGCCTGCGTCACACAGTCAGCACAGCAACAAAGCTTACGGCAGACTTATTATCATTATTCAGACGTTTGTGGTCATGTTTTGATTCTTCTGAGACGCGTTTTAATTTTTTTTGTGTGTAATCAAAAAGCTTTATCAAAGATGCAAGTTGAAAAAGAGATGCAGCAGAGCTCAGCATCAGTGAGTCTGTGGAATAGTCACACAAACTGGAGCTTATAAACCTTCTGCACTTTTTATGATGATTCCGTCTGAAAAAAAAACTGGAAATCTGCACCATATGTTCAGAATAAAATGCTGTTTTATTTATCATAATGCATCATGGGATGCGTGCCCATTGTGATGCAAAACATCACATTACGCCTTCATTTTGACACTCTTCATCTAGATTGACTATGCATAAAATACAGCTCTGGTGTGGACAATATGTGCAGCTTGGCTTTAAACCTTGGTAGAAAGAGCCATTGCTTCCCAGAATAAAACTCTAACATCGTATCCGATGCTGTTTTGTTAGTTTCCACTGCAGAAATGAAGGAAATCCAAAGTGTTTCTCTCATTTATAAATCCTGTAAGTTCTCACATGTTTTTTTTTTTTTGCATCATTTTCCTTTTCTCCAAAAAGGGAAGGAACACACTGGGAGAAGTTTCTCAGCTCAGATCGTGACAATTGGAACTGACCAGAGAGAGAGAGAAAAGCATTTGTGCTCACAGTCTCATATGGGCCATAAATGTCCCTGATCACCTCTCGATGTGGCTAAGGCACTTTGTTGTTAATGCATCTTTAGTAATGGAATCACCCTTCGACCACGGAACCATCAGGCCTAAACCTGAAAACGTACCCGTAAGATTCCTTCCACAGCTGATATTAAACAGTCAGACACAAAACTGAGCAGAAAAACATTTTGATTGGATCATTTTATCTCAGCCAGATCACTAAAGTTAAAACTGAACCCCCCCCCCCCCCCCCACACACACACACACACACACACACAAAATCAGATCACTGGCCTCTGCTGCCCTCTAAAGTTCAGAAACTGTAACTGCAAGAACATTTTAAAAGAGGAAAGAAAACCAACATGAGGCATTATATTATATAAAAGCAGCAATTGAAATAAATGTTCCATGTATTTAGCCATAATGCAATTTTCACACCAGTTAAATCCTTCTTAAATGACACAAATCAGCTCACTAATAAAACAAATCCGAAAAAGCTGCGTCACATAAACACTCACATGCGTTCAATGACGACAACGCTTTGGTGGGAAGTACAAGGAGATCATTGCAGCACAGACATTATGATAAATCTCACTGATGTTAAATTATACTGACATAGTCAGTATGTCTTCTCACAGGATGCACATGTAGCTAATTTAAATGTCAGGAGTGTCTCACTGTACATTTTATTTGTAATTTTGTTAAGTAAAACAGTAAAATGATATAATTCATATTCTGTCCATCTCAGCTGCACAACCTCCAGCTGTGACTCCCTCTCCCAAAAACATAAACTCGTGTCTGATTCCTCCTGCCTTCTGCAGCTGAGACCTAAAACTCCACATGCAAATGCATTAAAGCTGGCGTACATCATTTAGCATCATTAAAGTAACTTTACAATGCTTAAATTTATATATATCTCACCCTGATATATATATATATATATATATATATATATATATATACTATTTCTGTTGAGAGTTTTAATGTTTAAAATCTGTTAGATTGTTACTGACAGCAGCTACATTTAAGTTTCACTTTCTGTTCTGACTGAATGCTGCTGCAGCACGGAGGTGTAGTTCTCAGTCATGCTGGACATGATCATCCTGAGAGTTTTAGCTGAAAACAGCTAAAAGTTTCACGGCAGGTGAAAATGGTTCAGGTGTGCTCTACATCAACTCCTCATTGATACGTGGACCTTATAACTAAAAAGAATTGGTGAGAAAATATAAATGTAGTCCAAACTTTGAAAATAACTTTTAGTATTGTATTCTGGGTGACTGGCACAGCTCCTTTAAGCGGGGTGGGGTCCACTTACACCTAAAGGACAAGGGACATGCTTTTGAAGATGACAAAGAACACATTCTGGACAGGGAAGATGGTTTGAGAGAGGAGTAAAGGAAGCCATTTATGTCAAACAGAAAAGCCTACATTAAATGGGGAGGAAGACCTTTCCAGCGCCCATAGAGCAGCTCTGAATCTTAAGCAGTTTCACTCTGGAGCCGTTTTTACAAAACAATGCAGTCAATTTGCCGCAACGCTGACGCGGCATCAGGGAGCCTTAGGTCGCCTCTAAGTGGTCATACCATAGCGGTAATTTACAATCGAGAACTTTTTACAAAAGATTATGCGAAAGCTGTATAAAGGGGGTATGGGGTGGTCTCTGCACTGCCACGGACTTCCGTTTATCTTGGACATAACTTGCGATCAAAGCTGCACTCATTAAATTTTCTTAACAAGTCACTCCTATAGGTGTCTGCCCCCCAAAGTCTCTGTGCAGTGACTTCCAGCTCCAACAGAGAGAAGCTCCTAGAGCTCTGCCTATCAGCTCAGCTGGTTCTGTTGACAAAAGTGAAACTTATTGCCCGTGCCTACTTTCATTTTCAATATAGTTGCTGGCCAGAGCTCGGCAGTAACTCCTCACGTGATCACGACACCTCCTGCTGTTGCGCCAAAATTCCCACTACGCCATGCCGGCACGGCGCGTTTATAAGACACACAGATACAGTAATATCATACTGATTTGCTGGCACTGTGTACCTTGTAAAAAGGGCTTATGTCACACCCTCCTGCATCTAAACTACTGCAATGCCCTTCTGACTGGTCTTCCAGCCTGTATTGTGACACCTCTTCAAATGGTCCAGAACGCAGCGGCGCATCTGGTCTTCAATCAGCCTGGAAGAGCACACGTCACCCCCTCTGCTCATTGAGCTCCAGTGGCTACCGCTAGCAGCACGCATCAAATTCAAATCACTAGCACTAGCATACAAAGTCCTGGATGGTGCGGCTCCCATCTACCTGAATCCTCTTGCAAAGACTTACGTCACGGCTCGGCCGCTCCGGTCATCAAAGGATCGTCGGCTAGCAGTGCCTACACGACGCTCAGGACAATCCAGACTCTTCTCATGTGTTGTTCCACAAATGTGGATTGACCTACCAAGCACTACCAGAACAGGGGCGTCCTTGTGGATTTTCAAGAAACTCCTGAATACCCTGCTCTTCACAGAGCATCTTCTAAACTAGCACCCTCCCTGCACCCATCCCTCACTCTAGTGCACACCCCTTGTTCACTTCCCTTTATGATTGATTATGCTGCCTCGCTGCCACCTGGGATTGACTGATTAGTGTTTGTTGTTAGCCTCAAGCGCAACCGGATGGCTTCATTATCACCTGTAAGTTGCTTTGGACAAAAGCATCTGCTAAATACATAAACATAAACATCTAATCAACACAACGACTCCCTCACAATAGAGGCTAATGGCTCATCAGGGGTTAGAGAGGAGGGGCCTTCAGAGGGAGTTTCTGCTGGTTAAGCAACAATAGACAGCTATAATTTATGAGCGTGACCCTCCCATATTCCAGTCAGAATTGAAAATGCTAATTTAATAAGAGAAACGTTTTTAAGGAACCAAAACAAGTCCAGTTGCCTTCATCTGAACCCTTTTGGATTCCTCTTCTCCTAGACGACGCCTCAGTACAAAGCCCAGCCTTTCATGTTTACATATGACTCCAAAACATAAAGCACTTAAACCCCTGCACTCTTCACAGATTTTACCCAAAGCTGGGACATCTGTGAGTGTTGTAGAGAAATTGTGAATGATTAAACAAATGAAAACTGCATGCTCAATAAAACTGAACTTAAAACGATCGCACGAGGCACTGGGCGCATGCAAGGAGGCGGGATTACCTGATAGTAGGCGTGGCTTGGGGCATAGAGGGAGGAGAAAGGTGGGGCTGGAACTTCATTCTGCCTCTCTCCCTCCACAAGAGGCCACGCCTCTTCATCAAATGGTACCTCAGGTGATTCTACCTACAACGTACACACAGACCTCAGCGGTGTGTCACAGAAACACGCTCTATGATGCAAAAGGTGGCCTATACTAAAGATTTTATAAACATTTCTGCAGAGGTGAAACTTCAATACAGCAGATTTATTTTTACAACAATATTTTAACTGTTTATTGCAAAACCTCACTGGTTTCCATCTTTATAATTGTTGTATAATTTTAGATGTTGATGTATTGCAAAAGTCACATGCACACGTCTGTCAGACAATCAAAGGAAAGAGTTGTTCCAAGTGACCAAATGAGTCAAATCCAAACCAAGAAACCCGATATGGGAGGTTAATTTTGAGCCATTTTAAGTCAAATAGGCTTTTTAAATTTCGTGCAAATGGATGAACTTTTAGTAGTTGACATTTCTGGACAATGGGTCATGCATGAGAATGGATCGGAGCGTGGAGATGGTGAGAAGAGAGAAGGGAACATTTACATGGAGCGAACAAGATGGCTGGTCCATCTGTCATACAAAAGGAAGCCAGAACCAGCACCTGTGGTCACACACACAAATTTAAACAAACACACACCATCTGGGTAGGAGGAGAAGTTCTCAAAATACACCCCAAACCCCAGCAGCTAACATGCATTCTGACTGCATATAACAGATTGTATGCAGACAGAGAGCTGCTGGAACAGAGCAGCCTGCAGAGAACATTGGTGGTAATAATCTTGGTGTGGTGTTGGAAAAGTCAAGATATCCGCCAAAATAAAAGAAATTAAGATAAGTGTATTCAGATGAGGCCATGCATTTTTTAAGTTTTTGTGTAAAAAAACATGTCCAATAAAAATAAAAATGTGATGTAACTGAAAGATGAGCGATATTCAGTCACAAGGTGGAGCTGCACGACAACTTTTCCTTTGAACTGATACAGTGAAATTCTTCAGCTTGATGGAAGATTTCCCAGCAGACAACTTTTAATCTCACTGTGATGAACAATTCCAGGTAGAAAAACAACACACGACAGCGTTTAATGACCCGGAATGGGCACGTCACAGACACACACACTCCTCAGCTCTGACTGCACGCAACGAGGCGACAGACAGAGCTGCAACATACCCAAACACACACACACACTCACACACACATGCTGCTGCTAACAGCTTGAAAGGACAAATTGTAATAACATAATGCATTACACCTGCCAAGTTACAAAAGGAAAAATAGTGATTAGGGAATAAAACCAAAGCCAGAACTGAGAAAGGAAGAAAGAAGACTGAAAACCATGGATTGTTGCATATCAAACATCCTGAACGGTTAGAAATGGATCCAATAAAATAAATAAAAAATCCCATTCTGCTAAAAAGGTAGGTCTAGGTATCCCAACAGAATGTTGACAACTTTTCTTAAGTCCCCAAACATCCATAAACAACAGTTCTGATTCAATGATAAAAGAGTGTAGCGTGTGTTTTCGAACACAGACAGAGGTTTAGTGTGTGTATGCCACAGAAACAGCCAGAATGTTACCTGAGCAGGTGCGATGTGAGTATGAGTGACGTATCCATGGACGTGCTGAATCTGGGACAGCTGTCGCTCTGCCACCTGAACCAGCTCTGCTCCTCGAAGGTCACCGCGGTGACCCAGAGATCCATCCCTGCCCAGTGACCGCTCCCTTTCTCTCTCCATGCTTCCGATACCTCCTCCGTCTCTTCTCCATGTCCCTCTGTCCCTCCCTAGTGTCCCTCCATCCCTCCCCAGAGTCCCTCCATCCCTCCCCAGAGTCCCTCCATCCCTCCCCAGAGTTCCTCCTTCGCTCAGCTCTCTGACTATTCCCATTGGGTGCTGAGGGCAGGTATGATGGTGAAGTCTTGGGGCGCCAGGTGAAGCCCCTTCTTCTTGATATCGATACTTCTGCATTCAGAAGGGTGGGGCAGTTAAGGCGAGGGAAGGGCGGTTTCCATGTTGGAACATTCAAAAGCAAAGGCAAGAGGTGACGGGGGAAAGGGGTGATTGGAAACAGAAATTCGGATGGGAGAGGAAGAAAAAAAGACAGTAAAAGAAGAACTGTTAGTTCAAAGGAAATGTTAGAATTAGTTCAGAAAGTTTATAACAGTTGAAAAAGAAGAGGGCGTCAACTGCAAGCGCCGCTAAAGCAGCTAACAGAGCGTGAGTGCATGAGCGCACATTCAAATTCAATTCAATTCAAAGATACTTTATTAATCCCAGAGGGAAATTAGAGTTTCAGTACACACAATTCAGAGATCAGACATACATGGGCAAGACACATGATAAGAATTGGTGACTGTGGTCATTCGCAACCCTGAGTCGCGCTACCTTAATGGCGATCAGAGGGTTACATGAGGATTGGTTCAGGTGGAGGGAAAAAAGGCAATTCTGAGTTACCCTCCACCAGGAGGGCAGCTTTGCTCTGCAAAAAACACCTCAAACATATATGCAACAGACTTCAGACAACACAACATAAGTGTCCACTAGGTGGGGTGGTGGGTTTGGGACTATCCACACTTCGGTTCCTGCAGCCACTACAAGCAGTGCATGCCACCTCAGTCTGAACAGGGAGAGGAGCATTGAGGGTCTAAGGGTTGCAGTGACCCTGGAACGATTCAGCGGCCTTCCCGCAGTCCCGCCCAGGCTGGGAAAGGAGACAGAGTTGAGTTGCCATAGCGACGGCACATTCCACATATCTTCTGAGGGGGGAGTTTTCGTTGGAGCCTTGCTCGTACAGAACTCTCCCAGAACTCAGAACCCACGAACTCCGAAGTCCCTCTTTCTCCTGGACCCCCTTTTTTATTCCTTCAATTCCTCCTCCTTCTGGCCTCCTCTTCGTCTCCATGGCAACTCCCGCCTCAGGAAGCATTCTGCCGGCCTCTCTTTGCTTGGTGTCCTCCCGGCATTACCTCATTGCTTTCTTCTGGTTATCAGTCCACAGGGGGAGGTTTTTTCTCCCCCTCCTTTCTCTCCTCCGACCCAGAGATCTGCTTAAGTCAACCATAAACACTTTCCAGACTATGGGTCTCCCTGAAACTTTTATCGCATCCTGGACTAATCCCATAGAGGTCAGTAAAAGGCTAAAGCTACAACATATATTTACCAAGAACAGCAGATTAGTGAAGCACACCCATTATTTACGACATCAGGAGATCAGGAGTTAAATCACACAAACACATACACACGCACACACATTGGCCTTTCTTTGGCCTTTCAGCTTGGTTTCATTAACACACAGATTGAGATGTAATCCAGAACTGCTTTCTTTTAATACACAGTTATGGAATCGAAAATCTTTCTTCAACAGCGCCAGATTCCAATTAGAAATGATTTTGGGGCCAGACAGAGAAAATTTCCTCTATGTCTTACAGTTTGTTGGTCCTCAACCTCTCAAAATCCCAATAATGGACATTAAACTATCCCAATCCGTACTGATTCGTCCACTCTCTCCTTGATGGCATCCATCTTTTGTGCCAAAGAATGAATCTCCGCCAAAGTAACATGCACGTGTAACGAGATGTCTGATAGTACGCTTTGTGTAAGAACCTGGGGCAGGCAGGTGTACGCCCAGCATGGAGGTAATTATTTCTACGCTTGCATTGCACGAGCGCACTAACACACAGGCAGAACTGGAAGCAGAAGTTTTCAGGTAAAACGAGAATAAAAGCTGAAAGAGGACAGAGAGACTGCCTCGGGGAAAAACTGTTTTCTTCATCATCACTCGGTATCCTCCTCGCCACGCCTTTCTCACTCCTGCATCAAACATCCCTCAAGAACAAAGCTTCCACTTTTTCCTCTCCCTTGTCCCACTCTATTATCATTAACATTTTTACCTGCTTCAGTGGTCAAGATCCAGAAGAGATATTGGGAGAGCTGAAACAGGAGGTGCATGATTTATTGTGACGGTGGCATTTGGAGAGATGAGTAGCAGAAAGAAGGACCTTAATGTAAGTGAACACTGAGCGCTTCAGTCTGGTGGATCCCAGGAGCATTCCCATTTCTTGGAATGCCTTTAATTTCTTCTTAAAGGTGGAGAAAAGTAAAGCAGAAACCAAAGATTTGAGTAACCAAAACAAATGGGGGTGCTTAACCCTTTAACTCCCTCACCAAGAAATAAGCAGTGAAAACTCTCCACTTTTGCTTTTTGATGTGGAGCAATAAGGGCTTTAGCTTAATGTGAATTCATAATATTCATAATATAATAATTGTAATAATGTTAAGGCAATGTAATAATGTATTGCCTTTTCCTCAAACTCCATATTTTTTTGAATGATCTTGTTCTACTATTTTTTTTCTTAAGTTCATTTAATGCTTGAATGTGATGTAGGGATTTTAGAAATGCTCTACCAAGTTGAGCAGGCAGGCAAAGGATTAAGGTTTAAGACAAATGAAATGTGTCTCAGATTCAGATAACAAAAAGTAAGTTCAGCTAAGACAGCAGGTCCAATCAAGGCTGAGATAAATTATATTTAAAATGACGGTCGTGAAATCACAGAGTTTGATCTTCTCCTGGGGGCACAGCGATGTGAGAACGTACAGGAAAATGTGTGAAAGACTCATTTATAAGGCTCACTCTCCCTCTCTCCCTCACACACACACACACACACACACACACACACACACACACACATGGTGACTGTCAATTCCGAAGGGGGGGTGGGAGGGGGCAATTTGCTAATTACATTTATTGTTGTTGTTTGTCTCAACCTTTTATTGGTTGAGTGACATTTGATCACTTGTGAATAATTTAAAGACCAAGTTCACTTGTTTTTCAACACATTAGCAGTAGGCTCTAATGCCTGTGAGCCGATCTCTGCGAGAAAAAAGCTCTGGAGCCAGGAAAGGAGACTTCATCTCCTGTTGTCTGAAGCTACTTTCTCCTCCGGCTGAATTCTCCGTGCTGAAACAGACGCACCCGAGCTACGTCACACTGTCACTTAACATTCCCGCTTCTTCGTGACGGGGAAGGCTGTTGTTGGTTTAGCATCCCGGAAACAGCAGAGAATGTCTCAACTAGTAGAAGCTAACCGTTAGCATTAGCAACTTTACAGCACAGAGAACTTCTCCAGGCTTATTTGTGGAGATTAGGGCTGCAACAACGAATCGATAACTTCGATGAAAATCGATTACTAAAAGCGTTGGCAACGAATTGCGTCATCGATTCGTTGTGTTGCACAACTCTTCCAAAAGCGCCCCCCCTTCCCGCCCGCCGTTGCGCGCAGACCAGAGCAAGTCAGATCAGCGCGAGGGAGAGCCGCAGATCAGCGCGAGGGAGAGCCGCAGATCAGCGCGAGGGAGAGCCGCAGATCAGCGCGAGGGAGAGCCGCAGATCAGCGCGAGGGAGAGCCGGCAGATCAGCGCGAGGGAGAGCCGCAGATCAGCGTGAGGGAGAGCCGGTACAGGCAGATCAGCGCGAGGGAGAGCCGGCAGACTTGAGCTGCTGCGAACCGGTTCCGCATTGTTGCACAGCGATCCAGGCAGCTGCTTCCAGCGCACGGTCCATTCTCAAAGTGGCGCAACCAAAAAACTATAATTAGCACACGATCGTTCATGTCCGCGCATGTTCTCTATTTTCTGTCTTATTTGTGCCTGAAGCTCGCTACTGCGGAGCTCATCACCTGTGCTGTGGTGATTTCACCTCACGCAGCATCGAAAACGCGCTCTGCGCTTTTCGGTCAGGAGATCCCTTTGACCTGCTCAAAAGTAACTGATGAGGTGAAAAGGTAAGAATCCAGGCAACAGATTTTCTGGAGAATTAAGAGGAGATGCAGGAAGATGAGAGACAGACAGGACAGGAAAATAGTTCAATAAAAACAAGAAAACAAAACAAAGTGTTGAAAAGTAAAATGTAGGTAGATTTATCTCCACTACACGTTTTTACCAGTAAAAAACAATAAGTTCTACACATGTCATATTTATACATCTGATACAATTCAGATCACCTTCAAAACTCAGTCACACACCCAGGGCCGTTTCAAGACATTTTGGGGGCCAAGGCAAAATGCCCCCCCCCCCCCCCCCCCCAATAACTGGGCTCCCCAGAAGCCTCTGTGTAATTCATGCCCTCTCCAGTAGTGTTAGTTATACGGTGTTTATAAAAGCCCCTCAGACATTACTGACATGCTCTAATATTATCAGATGAAAAACTAAATTATCAGACATGCTGTCTCATCTGCTTATTTTATAAACTTGCAAAAAGTAACAAAACCATTTGAAAGCCACTATTTGTGGATTCTCTGAAAGTTTCCATGGAGTTTGTGACAACTTATTTTTTCATTGATCCTATCGTCTAATCTCACAGTTGAAACAAGCATCCTTAATAATCTGTGCACAGGAAGCTTACCGATGCTGTAGTAAAACAAAAGGTATAATAATTTATTATTAATAAAACCTTGTTGCAGCACTAAAGCAGAAAAATTAGATTTTGCATTAAATATGCAAAATATTTACATATGAATTGTTTTAGAGCCCTTTAATTGGCAGAATCTGATATTAATTTAGTTCTTACAAAAAATGGGTCCCAACATGGTTTGTGTGGCGTTGCCATAGTGTGACGTCATAGGCACAGATCCCCTGTCCTCTTGTTTGGAAATGGAAATATGGTCACCCTATATTAAACAAACTGTCCACCCGGGCTTTTGCACTGCACAGAGACGCTTCGCTGCCTACGACTGAACGTCAGTTGAGAGTCAGTCTCATGCAGACTGACCAATGAAGAGAGGGCCTCAAGTTAAGACCCTCTCCTCATTGGTCAGTCCACACGAGGTGGGTCAAAGGTTACTCTGGGCGGGTTACGTGTTGTCAGGCATTCAAGTATTGAGTATATTTACTGCATATTACAGTAAAATATTCTGTATGTGACCACATTATGGTGATCCTTGGGTCGTGATGATGGAGCCCTTGAA